TTCTCGCAACTATCTTAAGGACTCCAGTCACAGACTTGCTTTTCGGACGGGTGTCATAGTTGTAAATTCATCAATTAACTATTATTATGTTTGCTCATTTGTATGACAGTAAACTACATATTATTATTATTATTATAATAATATATTATTAATTAAATCGGTTGATTTGATTGTATACTCGTCTAGACATATTGTGTAATGCGTTTATTGTGTTGTTCGCTATGTCTGTACACTTTCTACATTTCTCGCAGTACAACGTGCGGGACGTAAGGGTACGCAAACGCATCCCACGCATCTCTTCTGACGCATTTTAAGTCACATGTAGACGCCTAATGTTTCATAGAATTTTCAATACATAATACGATAGTTTTACGATGAATTATACAAATACTTATTTCGCGGTCGCCCCGCGGATGATTTAGCGATTATCGCGTAGACGAAACGGAAGTTTAATATGTTTACCGATTAGCGTCGATTTCGTTAAGTCAGACACAAAACGGTTAATGCAATACAATACGTATTTAGCAATATCGTATTATAGAATAGCGAATTTTTTATTTCATTATTTTTATTATAAAAAAAAAAAAATAATAATAATAATAAATACAAGATACAATATAGACAATATACCTATACACTGTCGAGCGTGGTTTGCGCGATTTATGTTAACAGTATTATAACGTGTACCTTTATCAGGGGTCGGTGATTAGTTTAGAACGATTTAAAAACAAATTTTCGAGGGACGTATATTTTTGGAGCCGAACATAATAAAAAAAAAGGAAAGAAAAACGTTCGGCCTCTACTTATTTGATGTTTCGTCTTGTTTGACGATTCGTAAACGTAGTTTACGTTCGGACGCATTTGATATTATGAATGTACACAAATGGACAAATGATGAAAACGAAAAACCAGCGTTTAAGGAAAACAAATTTAGCGGTTTATTTCCTCGCCGAGGGCCGCCCATTGCCTCTGACCTCTGACCCAAATCATCTATGGCCATTTACGGTTGCGTACTGTCTGCCTACCCAAAATTAATGCCACGTTTCCGTTGCACGTTTACGAGCGTGACATTTTCGAAAAAAAAAATGTGTAAATTTATTTATTTTAGGAAAGACTTTCGACCAGCTCACCAACAAGATAACTACGGTTTGACAAACGTAATTGCGACGTAGTTTCCACGACTGCCGTTCAAACACTAAAGTTATCCGGAAAAAAAAAAAAAAAAAAAAAAAAAACGAAACAACCGCATGTAATACAACTACCGCGATCCGTTCAATTTTGATACGGACGGTAACGTATCGGGTATATTTTTTTTGTCTGCGCGCGCCAGTTGTCGTTACCGAGGTTTCTGCAATATCGGATTTATCCGTTTGTTAATTCACAACGGTTTTTTAATCGACCGCTGACGGTTTCGTTTCAACCGTACCCGATAAAACATAACTAAAACAGATTTCGTATTAATAATACACGCGTGGTTTTCACTCCGCGGTTGATGTACCGCATTCGGATGTACGGAATCGCATTCGCGTGACAATTGTGCGCATAATGTAAACAAACCGAGCGGTGCGCGTCGCCGGTGTTTCGTACGCAACCGTAACGTTTTCAAGGGCCGCCGAATGTCCGACGTTCGTTTCGCGGCGCGCAAACGAACGCGAACGAGTGGCCGCCGGC